CTCGAACAGGATTCAGGCATATATGGAGTTTTTAAATTTTGAGTCACAACCATTAAACTTCTAATTTTATGATTTATTATTCATGGAATAGGGGTCACAGTAAAATTACTAATGCTCTATAACGACACTCCTGATATTGACTTGGGGCTGTTTATAAACACCAATAGTAACTACCCAAGTTGGCTTGATGGTCCTATGGTTAATAATTAGGTACCTCTCTTAAAATGTTAGTTGTCATATCTGACACAGGGAGCTACTACATACTATATATCTGGCCACATACTGAGAAACTAGAATCTCATTTTCTTCTTTCAAAGTCCTGAAATCCTGACATCTCTGGCTCCCTTGTGGGGAGCTTTATATTAACTAGGAACTGAGATTGGTCAAATCTCTCATGATCATTTTCTATGTCATTTCCACCTGTGAGACTCTCATCTGTTTTCTTCATGTGCCCGGTTGTTCGCCACAATCCCTGCCCAGGTGGGAGCTTGCAAGCTGTGATATCCGAAAACGCCAAGTCTGGTAGCCACTTCCACGAGGCCAAACTCAAAGACCTCCTTCTACAGGTTTCCTTGGGACTTAAGTACATCCACAGTTTTGGCATGGTGCACCTGGACATCAAACCCAGTTAGTATCTTTTTTTTTTCTGTCCGTATTCCTTCCGTATTTTGTCTTTTATGAACTATTGTGAAAATGTGCACCTGTGTACCTTCAACCTCAAAGATAGTGTTGTCTAGAAGAATTATTTTCTTCCATTCGCTTCCCATAACAAACTCAGTGAAATATCTTTTGCCATCTTCTTGTTAAGACAGGGGACCCAAGGGGAAAAGACACTTTCTCATATAGATCAAAATATAAAACTAGATGTTTAATTGACCACATAGAAAACTGAGAGTGTGTCAGCTACATTCTGATTGTGTTTGTAACTAATGCTATATTGTCTCTAAGTCAGCCCTGATCAGAGAGAACTGAATGAATGTGTTTGTCACTTAGGTGTTTGACACCTAAGGAGAAGTTATTATTTTGTGGGTTTTATTTATTTTGAAATGGCATGTAACCATGAGGATGGGGACTATTGGAGTCAGTTCAGCTTAGAGAGGTGTTATCCATCACTGGCTGTTCTGCTGTGAGGAAAGAGATTACATGTGTACTCAGGAGGTAGATGTAAGTTGATCTCTTTGTCCAAGTCCAGCCTGATCTACATAATGAGTTCCAGGCTAGCCAGAGCTATATAATGAGACAGAGATAGGGAGACAGAATCTCTCTCTCTCTCTCTCTCTCTCTCTCTCTCTCTCTCTCTCTCTCTCACACACACACACACACACCATAGAAAAATGTAACATTCAAAGATGAATAATCACTCGACAACCACACCAGAGGAGGGAAGCTGAAAGGTCATGCATGGCCTTGAAAAGCTCTGTTGGGTGGGAGCTCAGAAATTATTACTTATGTCTACTCTGGTTTTTTTTTCAGGTAACATCTTCATTTGTAATAAGTCGCAGAGTGACTCTCCTGTAGGTCCAGAAGAGACTGAAAATGAGGCTGACTGGTTTATCTCTGCCAGTGTGATGTATAAAATTGGTGAGTCTGCTTCTATCCCATCAGCATAGTACTTTATAAACAAGCTGATGACTGCATTCACTTCATCTCCAAGAGAGCAATGTTCTTTAAAACACCCTCTTTCTGTTTTTAAAAGGTGACCTGGGCCATGTGACATCAATCAGCAACCCAAAAGTGGAAGAAGGAGATATTCGCTTCCTGGCTAAGGAGATCTTGCAAGAGGTATACATTAGGAAAATGGGAGTGGAAATCATTTTCTTTTCCACTTTTTAATTTTTTGACATGGAGTCTTGTTATGTTGTCCATATGGCTGCTGCAAACTTGTGGCCATTTGGCCTTAGCTTCCCCGATAGCTGGGACTACAGATGTGCAATGAATCTTATAATTCATTTCAACCTTCTGACTCTCAGATGAAGGCTCATGATGCCCCAAATGAAGAGTAGATATTTGTAATTCAAACTCAACAGTCTCTTTTCCATCCAGAATAGAGACCAAATACCATAAAGAACTTCCCCCAAAGCACAGGAATGCTCTCATCAACAATGAATCAATAGTTACACAGTTCCTTCTAAAGGTCCCTCACTATTTCTAGTATTTCTAGAATTCTTAGTCTAGTGGGTTGCATTGGAGAAAGGAAATCCTACCTTCACGGTCATCTTGTCTTTATCATGTTGTTACTGCCTTGATAACCCATCAGCTCCGATCACTAAAATGGCAGTTAGTCGTTATCCATCTTCTAGAATTCCTGTGAAGTCTGACCCAGCAAGACTATAACTTCCTTCGGGGTAATACTCAGGGGAAAAAACATTTTCTTGTGATCAGTTATCATCATTATCATCATCAATCAATTAAGCCTCAGTGAATCTTGACAGAACAAAATGATGCTGAGATTCTACCCTAGACTTTCAGGGCACAGCAATATTACTAAGGTTTGTTTTATGTTCCCTTTAGCTACTTAGGTATAAACCAGCAACTTCAGTACATATAACTGTGCCATAGTTTTGTGAGCTTACGTGTAATTAGACCTCTGCCAGTCACATTTTAGACTCAACCTACTTGGCAGACTAACTGGTCTCCCTGTCTTCTGTTTTGTAGAATTATCAACACCTTCCCAAAGGAGACATATTTGCCTTGGGGTTAACAATTGCAATGGCTGCAGGAGCAGAGTCATTACCCAGTAACGGTGACATGTGGCATCATATCCGCAAGGGGAACTTTCCAGACATTGCCCAGGAGCTCTCAGATGACTTTTATGGTCTACTCAAGGTGAACCTCATAAGATGAATTGAAGATAAGACATTTATTTTAAATGAAATGAGAAGTGTGGTGGTGGTGGAGGTGGGTTAGGTCAATATGAATTTAGTCAGGGTCACGTGAACAGGAGGAAGGAAGTAGGAAGGTCAGAGAAGACAGGACAGATTGGAACTTCTTAAGGAAACTTAACTTCTACAATACCCTCATGTGGCTACTTTTTATTTGTTCTTCCTAGTAACCTCATAAAATGGCAGGTGGCACATCTTTCTGCAGTTGAGGAAACTCAAGCTTAGAGGGGCTCTTGTATTTTGTTGATAATTCGTCATTCTAAATTCAAACCTTGTCTTTTCCCTTTCAACATCAGGTTTGCACTGTTGTCAATGGTCAGTTATGACAGAGTTTCTAAAGAATCACCTCATGAGGATCTTTAAAACTATAAGCAATGCTTTGGTAATTGACAATACCACTTACTCGAGCTACTGGGGAAAAGGCATGATGTCAATTTAAAAACCTGTGATATTGGTTTTTCTACATAAGTATGCATAATGATAATAAAGGGGAATATTATATTGAAACAAAGACAGCTACAAAAACAAAACAAAGCAGTACCAAAAACACACCCCAAAAACCTTAATACTACCAGGAAGATTTAGAGTCACCCCCTCAAAAAATCATGGGTTAGGAAACAAGGTTGGTTAGGGTCCCTAACATTGCTTTAGAAATACCTACTTCCTTAAACATTAGAGCTACATTTTTTTACATGCAAATTTCAAATGCAGTTACTGATTCTTCCTTCTACTTTCATTTTTTCTGTCCTGGAAAGAGGAAAACCTTTCCCTTGCTCTTTTGTTCATAGCCTAATCATTCATTCATATATGTGTATATACACATATATAATGCATGTAAATGAATCATACCTAGTTCATATTTACTGGGTATCAAAGTGTTAGCCCTGTGCTATGTATACTGTATACTTTATGCTAATTTGTAGTGTTAGGAGCGGCAGGCTGCTTCCCTGGCACCGGGCCGCCCGCACGGCTAGCTTTATACCAGAAATAATTACACAGAAACTGTATTCTTTTAAACACTGCCTGGCCCATTAGTTTCAGCCTCTTATTGGCTAGCTCTTACATATTGATCTAACGCATTTCTAATAATCTGTGTAGCCCACGAGGTGGCTTACCAGGGAAGATCTTAACCTGCGGCTCTTTTGGGTGGGAGAATCATGGTGACTGACTGACTCGGCTTCTTTCTCCCAGCATTCTAATCGGTCTACTCTGCCTACCTAATTTTCTATCCTATCAGGCCAAGCAGGGTTTTTTTTTTAATTAGTTAACCAATGAAAGCAACAGATAAGATACAAGACTCCATCACTAATTGACTTAACCCTCACAACATCCCCAGGAAGAGGATAGCATTATCCTGGTTTCAGATAAAATGAACTGTAGGACAGTTATAGAGTGGATGGCAGTGTTTGCTATGAACTTGGATCCCAAGTGGAAGGTTACAGAAAGTCCAGTGTATTTGTCATCCTTTGACACTATTAGTGACACACAGAGATGCTGATCTACTAATCACATGGTGATGCTATAATATTCAATTCGTCTTACGCTACAGATGCTGTCTGCCTTGAGGTAAGTGATCTTTCAGAGTCACTAAGAGACAAAGGAGTACAGCGTAGTGGAAAGGAAACTGAACTGAGTTGGGAAAACTGGGTCTTCGTCTTGGCCTTTCCTATAACTTGGATATAGCTCCAGTTTTTCCCTTTATAATTAATATATTAGACTAGCAAATCAGCAAACCAGCTATCTCTCAAACACAACCATTAAATCCAAGTCCTAAGTATAGACAAATGGTTTTATTAGACATGGGTGATTCTTCTGCTGAAGGCAGAACAAGTTTTCACTGAGGAAAAGCAGTTTTACAAGACCCAGCAGTAGATGTTGAACTGAAGTTGGCTTGAATGGGGCGATGATGCCACTATCGAAACTTCTGTTTCTTTCCATGCTCCTAAATCTATCTTCAGAGCATGATCCACCCTGATCCACAGCAGAGACCTTCCGCAGCAGCACTGACCAGAAGTCAAATCCTTTGGCCCTTCCCAGAAAAGACAGATGAACTCCAGAAGCAACTCGACTTGGAGAGGTCCAAGGTAGCCATACTGGAAAGGTATGCTGGTTGTTGAAACCAAGAAAGGGTCTGTGGGAGCAACTCACAGTGATCTGACTAGACCATGGTGTGTCTAGGGATCCAAGTCTATGCACATTCTACACCCTCAGATATACGCTCTGCCCACAAGAAACCTGGCAGTGTCTGTTTTATGGTGTGTGGCTCTGTAGCTCTGTGTCTAGGCAACTTGAGAGAATCCCAGGTAATGCAAAAGAAGCAAGAAAAAGAATTGCAAGGAAAGACCAGTAACAAGGGAGTTCTTGGACTCTGAGGGACAGCAGGTATCAAAGGAACTGTTAGGTGAACACCCAAGATAATCTTAGTTTAGTAGTTTGTTTGAGGATCTTAAGTGAGTAGAGACCTCTTTAGAAAGTACCAAGCTGCAGGGACAGAAGGCAGACATCGGATCGTGATAACATATTTAGAGAATTATATCTTTTTCTGAGCAAAGAAGACAATATGACCCTTGGTTGATGTAGGCCTGTTATCGTTTATTAATTTATTCCCTCATAAAACAAATGGGAATTAATTTGGGTGTGACTGGAAGAGGTCATGCAATGGCATTTAAGTAGAATTTTGAAGAAATTCTCAGTTGATTTTTGCATCATATGTGCACTATTGAAGAAAAAGAGGAAAATGAAATATGGTCCCTGCTTGAAAATTGCTTAGAAGTCCAACTTTCTTTAGCTACAAAGTCCCTCTTGGAAGATTAGTTTGAAAACTTGAACAGCCACTCCTAAACCACTTCATACTCATTGCTCTTTTTGAGTTTTTATTTTAGATAATAAACTACAAAATACCAAAATATGATGCTCAGAAGCATGACAATTTCTTGAAAGTGTGTGTAGTGCTCTGTGATGCTCAGTTGGAGGTACAAGTGTCTGTCATTCTTCAGTATAAATGATCATAGAAACCACAGAGATGGGGCAGATGGTAACTTGAAACTGTCTAGACCAGTGAGTCTCAACCTTCCTAATGCTTGCGACCCTTCAATACAATTCCTCATGTGGTGTTGACCCCACCCATAGAATTATTTTCATTGCTACTTCATAACTGTAATTTTGCTACCTTTATGAATTGTAATTAAATATCTGTATTTACCTATGGTCTTAAGCAACCCCTATGAAAGGGTCATTTGATTCCCAAAGGTGTCATGACCCATGGGCTGAGAACTGCTGGTTTAGACCAAAGGGTGGTAAACTTGTTCTATAAAGGATTAGATATTAAATGGTTCACGGTTTCTAGTACGTATGATTTCTCCTGTAATGATTCAATCCTGTCTTCATTGGGTGAAAATAGCCACTGAATATATATTACATATTTATAGTATATATATGTATATATCTGCTATATGTATATCAGATAACAATGATTAACTGTTTCAGTGAGATCTGTGGTTTGTTGCCCTCACAGTTCTTATATTTTGCCTAAAGAGTTGTTCACTTATAATTTTAATTTTAAAGGTGATTTATGAACCATGAATGTATCATTCTTTTTAATGATAGTAAGAATCATTAAAATTGATTCTTCATTCTGCACATATCTTGGGCTTGATTTTGTAAAACTGAAATAAAGAGATTAGCTGTGATTATAAATACTGCCTTAAACTAGGGAAGGACTTACCCAGCCTGTCTCCTTTGATTGCAGGGAACTGAAAAAAGCTCAGCAATCTCAGAGAGACAGCCAGCATGGGGACCCTGCGATCTCTGGGGCCACGAAGACTCAAAAAACACAAGACATCTGATGAGAGGAGTGAGGAACCCTCGAGATTCACCTGTGGGAAATTATAACCAGCCACTTCTCACCAGCCAGCCTTTGGCCACAAGCCTTCAGAGGACATACTGGATGCAAGAATGAGCCAGCTTGAATGTACAAAGACTTCAAAAGCCATCTGGTGGAGCATCCACAGGCAAGGCCACAAACTTCTAGGGTGTCTTAGCAATGGCCTCACATCTTGCCTACTGTTGTATCTCTAGTGCCATTTACTCAGGACTTCCGGTGAAGAATGAGAAACATATCCCATAATTGAAAGAGGAACAGAAACACACTATTTTAGCCTTTCAGTCAAGAAGCTGCCATAACTTATTCTTTGCTGTGAATCCAGGGAACTTTCTCTGCATATAGAAAGGAATAAAATACGGCTTTAAATACCAGCTCACAAGAGAAAGCTGCCTATACTTCAGCAGTGCTTCCCAGGGTGTATCTACTTCTCCAACTGCCAGACCCTTTGATCAGGGAGTTTGCCAGATATATCTTCTGGATAGAAGCAGTCTCTTATCTGATTTTGTATTAGTCAATAAAATCCTATCATTATATGAAACAATTAGAAGTAAGACTATAAAGTGGACATTTCTGAGCTGCTTACTAACTTCTCAAATAAAATCAGCAGAGGTCTGGGGAAGTTGGAGGTACTTGCTCACCATGTGTTCTAACCCTCCTGTGTCTGTTCCCCACATCCTGCTCTCCCGTGGCTGACTCCTATTAACTTTCTGAATATCATCACCAGGTTCTCTTGATTTTGTTTAACCAGAACTTCTTTGTTTTCTGTGCTTTTAACATATTTTAATCCAAATCTTTCCCTCTGTGTACATTTAGAGAAACAGAACATTTTTAAATAAAGACTTTTATATTGTCCAAAGACAAACATGGGTAAAGCATTCTTCTGTGTAATGTGAAAGGACCAAAGAATGTGAACTTTATTTTACAATTTCTTATAATTAAGAGAAAATGTAGGTCAGTAGTAACATGTTTTTCACTTCTTCCAAGAAGACCACACCTATTCCAATAAAACCACACATCCAATCCTTCTAGTCCTTCCCAAACAGTTCCACTCCTTGATCACTAAACATTCCCATATGAGTCTACAGGGCCATTCCCATTCAAACCACCACACTCCTCTTCTCTCTCTCTCTCTCTCTCTCTCTCTCTCTCTCTCTCTCTCTCTCTCTCTCTAGGGTTCCTGGTTCCCCTATAATGACACTGGAGCAAATTGTAAATTTTTGTATCTCTAACAAAACATTTGAGCCATTTTTTTTTCAGTTTAGTTAAATTTTTTAAGGTTCCTCAATATTTCAGAATATTTGAATTTGCCTTAAATATTTCCATTCATGTTTTTTTTTTCTGTCCTGAGACTTGAGCCTTTGTGAAGCTTGTGTTTGTTCAAGGTAACCTGTAAACTGTATATTCTTAGCAGGTTCTTCACATTCTAGGAACTTATCTTTGGGGGCGAGGCTCCTTCATGGTCATTTATCTTACAATATGCAAAAGGGGGAGAGGGTGACTAGTTGAGGAGAGAATCTTTAAAGTATGTATGGGGGTACATTTCAGATGCTGAGGATACTGACAGCTGACCAAGGCCGAAGTGCATGCTGCATTGGGAAGGATCCACTAACAGGAGAAATGCTTCACTTACAGTTCCTCCCTGAAACTGTACAACTACACATATAATACAATTTTTGTCAAGAAGGAAAATAAATGAAGGAGGAGCACTCGCAACCTCTCCAGTCAAGCATCAAAGAGAATGTGGCGACTCCTTTCTGCGTGGAAACAGGGCTCAGCCAAGGCAGCCCATTCATTCAGGTGCTATTTATACAGTTTTAAGTGTTTGCCCAGGGGTGCCCTCAATTTGCAGGGAAATGCCTACATTTTTCTTTAAACAACGTTTGCTACATTCTTCACATACAAGAAAGGGTGTGTAACCTGGAAAAATACGAATACCCCAAAGTTCAAGTCAGGCACCATTAAAACAAAGCTTTCAATAGGGGCAGGGAATTTCACTCTGGAGGCAAAGGTAAATCTAGTTTTTCCTTTGCCTTGTCCACAAAGCAGAGGCAGGATTATAAGAGGAAGCCATTGGAAGGCATGGAAGTAATGTAGTAGGTGGGGTGTGTTGTTATCAAATAACAGTGCAAGGCTCCAATACTGTATCTTTTTATTTCAGGAAATCAACTTTGCAACGGTGTAAATATGGGGAGGGGGTAAACATCTATAAACATACCATTAGTGAGCCAGACTTCAGAACAGGTTAAAATTAAGTTGAAAACCATGTTAAATAGTTCAGATTTTTTCCTTATGTCTTAAAAGGGCAACTGTTTTAGCTGGGGTTTCTATTGTTGTGAAGAGATATCATAACCACAACAGCTCTTATAGAAGCTCTTGGAGAAGTAGCCAAGTGTCCTGAACATCTTGATCAATGGGCAATAGGAAGTGGTCTGAGACACTGGGTGTAGCCTGAACATAGGAGACCTCAAGGCCCACCCTCACAGTGACATACTTCCTTCAACAAGGCCACACTTCCTAATAGTGCCACTCCCTTTAGGGGGGCATTTTCTTTCAAACCACCACAGCAAGAATGGAACTAGGGAGGCAATGTGTGTGTTTAAATGACCCAGAGAGCCCTTCCTTCTCATAAAGGACAATGATTTAAAAAACAAAAACAAAACTAGGCATAGATTATGGAGCCCCACATCTACGCTGCGTTGGGTTCTTTAACCTGTAGGATTCAATATGTGTGTTACCTTACAAAGCCAGAATTAGGGTAAACAATACAGGATTTAAAGAAGTGAAAGAAATTCAGCAATCAAAATAAATAGTCTCAACGTGGAATTTTAGAAATGTTAAAAGTAAAAATTTTACTGTGAATACAAGACAAGACTAGTAAACTTAAGTTAACTGAAACAATTTAAGACTGTCTGTCACTCAGTGCTGGGTGTGGTGGCCCATGCTTTTAGTGGTAGCACTGGAAAGGCAGAGGTAGGGAGGTTTCTGTGAGTTTGAGGACAGCTTGGACTGCCTACATAGTGAGTTTTGAGGACAGCCAGGGCTACACAGTGAGACCCTGGTTTTTTTTTTTTTTTTTGGTGCTTAAAGTCACTCCATCTAAAATAACTGCCAGAGTTGTGGAATTGAAACACAAACTACAAAAAAGTACATTCTGAAAATACTTAGTAAAGTCTTAATTACAGTTTGCTTTAAATTAAAGCAATGTGAATTTAATACTATTGAAAGACCTGGATAAATCCAGATCTCCCTAGCAGGAAGAAAATAGCCAAAAATCCAAGCAGGAAGAGAAGAATCAAAAATCTAGGATTAGCCAGTTTAGTGACTGTGTTTCAGGAACTAGCTGAAGATAAAGTTAGGTTGTAATCTTGAGAATAATCTTGAGAAACTGGGAGTTTCCCCTTTGTGAGTGTCACTGGGTTTTAAGAACTAGCTGGTTATGACCTTGGGAGTGGTCCTCAGAGGCAGGGGGTTGCCCCCTTGTAATCTTCACTGGTATTTTCGGGGAATTTTCTGTGACGTGCCCCCTGCCAATTCCGGATCACTGGGCTGTGGTTTCTTCCCTTAAAAATCGCTTCTCCAGGTCACTCGGGGTCGAACTCTCCCCCTGCGTGGGTTATGAGTCTAGGCCCCAGTGCACTGGTTCCCGACTCATCTCATCATTAAAGCTTCGTGTGATTGCAGCAAGGACGGTCTCTTGTGAGTTACTGGGGGTGTCGTGTTATCCCGAGACTTGAGTGAGAGTCTCTCCAGCACTGGGGGTCTTTCACTATAAAATGTTTAGAAATTTAAAATCAACTTTTAATGGTTTAGAAAAGTACACAAAACCATGCAATATAAAGGCCCACTTTCCTTGTGCCTCGGAACCTGTATTTAATAAAAATGTTAACTATTTTGCTCCTCACGTATTTCTTGAATTAAATTTTGACTTAACATATTAACGTATCCAAATCACCTAGTTTTTAATCGCCCTTCAATTATACGATTTTAGCCCTTGTTTTAATTCTCCAGTCTTACTGCACTAGGAAACTTGGGGTTTTAGCTCCTCCAGGGGTTGAACTATGTTTTATTTCACCTACCTTGCTCCCTGTCTCAGGCTGGGAACATCATCAAATAATTTCAGTTCAGGGCTGGAAATACAGTTCAGGGGCAGAGTTTGGTTAGCCCGTGCGAGAACACTGCTCTGTCCAATAAAAGGCAGAAAAAGAAAACCCATTATTCGCACTTCCAATTCATTGTCCGCTAAAATTTCTTTAAAATATAAGTTTTTAAAATTTGTTCAGTTATTCTAAACCCCTGAGGGTGGAAATCATTCAGGGAAGGAAAAAAAACAAACCTACGCCAGAAGCTTTGTCGACCCACCCACTTCCGTCTGGCAAGAAGTTCCAGGAACTTCTAAGTTGAGGGGTCGTGTTTCCCTCGATATCAGCCGGCAGCATTTCAATGGCGCACACCCTCGCTTTCCGGTTTTCCCTTGCCTACGGGAGCTCTGCGGGCTCTGTGCGCCGGAAGCGGGCCCGTGGCCCGGTTGCGGTCGGGTGTTGCGTCTCAGGTGAGGGCAGGGGGCAGCTAGAGGCAGAATTGTGTTTGCCGAGTGCACGCGCTCGTGCGGGAGTCGGGAGGAGGTGTGCGGTTCCTTGCAGGAGGCCGAGTGTCCCCTCTGCTGCCCGTGTTGTCTGCGAGCGCCTATTGAGGGAAAGGGCAGCAGCTTCTCCCCGTGGCGAGGCTGGGGGCGGGGCGTGGGGGGGGGGGGGGACGGGGCGGCGGGCATACTCTGCGCCACCGGGAGCAGAGACGCTTGAGTTTTTACTGTAACGACTTTTGCATTTGAGTCCTTTAATAGCAGTGTTTATTGAGCCCTTACCGTTTGCTAGATATAGTTTTAGGGACTTAGAATAACTGAACAAATTTTAAAAATTCTCTAAGAGAACTTGTATTTTAAAGAAATTTTAACAAACAATGGGTTGAAAGTGAAAATAACAGGTTTTCCTTTTTCCCTCCTGCTGGTCATTGGACAGAGCAGTTAGTTGAGATTCCAAACCACACAGTTTCTTTTGTCTTTGTTTTAAAAGGAAAGGAAATCACCAAATTGCGAAGATGTGATTGCAAATCAAGTGCACATACATCGAATGCACTTAGAATCCTAGGACTTAGGGACCATGTGTTCTTGATGAGTATTGTAGCGTTAGCTTTATTTTCTCTCTCTTTTTTTCTTCTTCAGGAAAAGGCTAACGGCTAGATTGTAAGAAAAACCGAAGCCATGTTTCGAAGACCTGTGTTACAGGTAGTCATTTTTCTTACATTATTCTACATTAGTTAGTGCTGTGTTTTCATCGTCTGTAGCCACTGATTTTCCTTTTGCTTTCGGATACATAAGCAAAAGAGTCTGAAGCTTACCCATCATCTTATATGTGTTTATTTGGTGGGAAAGGTTCAGGGTGGATTGTGTGTGTGTGTGTGTGTGTGTTGCTCATAATGTTTACTGAATCAAAAAGGATTTTAAAATGTATTCGCATATGTAATATGAATCATTAACAAATGTTTTTGTTACTTGTGCTTACGTCAGTATATGCATTTCGTTATTTAAAGTTTTTATTATATTATTTATTTTTTTGAGATAGCATCTCATATACCTGCCCCTACTTTCCCAGTGCTGGTAATTTGGACATGCACCACCATAGCTGGCTTTGTTGTTGTCATTTTTCCATATAGCTCTGGTCTCTTTTCTGACCTTCTGTTCCTTCTCCTTCCCACTCCCACCTCTCCCAGCCACACATATCATCCTGCCACCTAGTTGGTTGTCTTCTGCTCTGCCCAGTCTTCAGAAGGCTTCCGTCGCCATTCTTCCTCATTGTGGCATGTGGGTACCACGTTGTAAACTCTAATGTAAAATCTATGTGAAGGCTAATAAGTCAAACTCTTATAAAAACCTGTTGTCACCTCCATCTTACTCTCTACTTGACCTAGCCTTAGGTCCCTGCTTTAATCTACACATGCTTTTAGTCTTTTTAAATGAAGAAGTTATAGTATGTTATTATCTTGAAACCAAATATGAGGGAAAAGTTTGCACTTCTTCCTATTTCTGCTTTTCTACTGAATTGTGATTGGTGTGTGTGTGTGTGTGTGTGTGTGTGTGTGTGTGTGTGTGTGTGTCTAAAATGAGGCATATTGTTATTCTGTAACTCAATGAGCTCTGGCTTTTCTGATCTCTCAGATTAGTATTTTCTGTGATGATGACATAGGAGCTGATTAGCAGTTGGATCCTGTATTTGGAGAAACATCTTATTCTTGTATCTATCCTGAGTAGTAGATAGTGTTATATACTCAAGGTCACTTCAGGAATGGATGTGGAGTTGAGTGCTATGGAGCGAGATGGTCATTATTAAAAGACCAGGGAAGGAAACAGGTCCCCAGCAGGGAATGTTTTAAAAAAGCTAGGTCTAAAAAATCAGTGTGGTAACCTGACACCTCAGAGCTGCAGCCCGGTCTCTGCCCTTATTCACATGGAAAGATTGCATAACGAAATTATGTACACAACAGCTCTCACAAGCTTGAGCACAAACAGTTGAGATGACCCTTCTTAAGTGGTAGCAGTGATAGGCCAGAGAACTGCCTTCAGAGTGGCTCACTCACAGGGTGAGAACTTCAAAATGGGCGGCATCACCCTCTGCCCACTGCCTGAAGTGGCTGGGAGTCCTGTTAACTGTCTGGCTAGCCAGTGTTCTGAATAAGTTCATTTTCTTCCTGTTGTTTGTTCTAAGAAGAGAATTCTTTGGCCTGCCAGCTCCTTTCTCTCCTGTGTGGCAGATCCACTAGGGAAATGTTTCTGTCTTCCAACGTGCCGCTCTCTGAACTCTTGAGTGTGCTGATGTGAACTCTTCTTACCTTTCTGGTAGAACAGACTGTCTTTAAGATAGCAGCAGAGGGCAAGTTGGAAAAACAACCTTGGTGTCAGACAGCCCTGAGTTCTAAGTCATAAATTACCACTTAATTCCTAGTGTCCCGGACAGGTGGGTACTCTCTGAGCTTAATTTTCCTTGGTTCTAAGGTAGGATAATTTGACATTGAGTTGATAGTTTAGGATTAACTGCTAATAGGTAATTCTCTTAGCATATTAAGTGATGCTAATTTTTGATTGTGTATATCCTTTTTCGGTAGCTGACTTCATAGCCATACTTTGAACTTTTTTACTTATTCTTTTCTTTTGTAAAAGATTTTATTTTGTTTTGTTTTTCTTTGTGCTGAAAGAATGAAGTGTTCTACCGGGCCAGGCTCACTATAGAAGCTGTTGAGCTTTTGCAGCAGCCTCGAGAAATCAGTGTTATCATTTTTGCTCATGAAACACTCTAGGCCAGTCATCTGAAATGTCCTATCTTTATGAATTTTGATCAACCAATCAGGAAAAACAATTTTATTATAGACCTAAGTTTTATCCACAGTGCCTATTGCAGTGTTAGAAAGATGTACGAAAAAATGGAAGGGATGTTCTGTTTTGTTGTCATTTAACCAATTTCTCATTGTCTACAATTGAGAGTGAGACTCAATACACTGAGTGTATTCTAAATATTCTGATGCTTGTTTGATAATTTCTTTTTATGCTTACTTGATTGATATATGACTACATTCATTAGAAAGCACTGGTTTCTTTTATTCTCCTTTATCCTCCATTCTCCTTTGCTGTCCTTTCCTGGAATTTGTAGGAACTACTGATTAAATGGTGAATTAATATGAGTAGGTCTTCTGTTGATATTTTTCTTTACTAAAAATTTTAAAGCTGCATTACTTGTTGTTCCCCTTTAGGTGTTTCGTCAGTTTGTAAGGCATGAGTCTGAAGTGCCAGGTGGTTTGGCTCTTGAACGATGTAAGTAACAGATTCCTAAGTTTACTGTGTTGTTCACAGCGCACTGCTAATGCTCTCACAGGACTGTAGAACTGTGTGTGTGTTTCACTGTGCCGCCCGTTATCTCTGGTCCATTTTACCCCTGCGCCTCTGTCTGTGAGGACCTAGTATAAACAGAGCTTACAGTCCAGATGCCACCCCCTCCTGCTGCCACTCTTCATGGCTGTGTTATATGGGGTGCGGAGGATACTTTCGCAGAAATACTTCTTTTTATAGTAGAGATTTTCTTAAATCCCAGATTTGTTCTTTTAGCTCAAGATAAAGAGCTTAAAATTTGTTTTGTGCGGCTGCTTTCTGTTTTCTCTCTTGTCAACCCTTTCTCCCCTCCTTGCCTTCCTGTATTTTCCTTTTAAACTTGTTGATCTTCAGTAGTTTGCGTTTTTCATAATGCAGAGGTTGAAGCTAAAGCAGTATTTGTAGTTGTTCATTCTCTGGGCATTTCTGTCAATTTCAGATGTGGGTTTATCCTGTGTGACTATCCTGGCTACTCTAATGAATAGACCAGATGACGTAAGCAATAGAGAGTTATTTCTTAGAACTCTGCAGGCTAGAAGGCCAAGACTAGAAGGTTAGGCTGCCAGTCAGGCCCCACTTGCTGGTTTGAGGATAGTTGCCCTCTCTTGTTTTTCTGTGGTGGTGATGGAGTGATGGCTGTTATGGTTTCTCTCTTCCCTTATAGGGACACTAATTTCGTCATGGAGGCTTTACTTTATACCCTCATCTCACCCTAATTACTTACGCAAGGCTCACCTCCAGGTGCTGTCCCACTGGAAGGGAGCGTAAACGTGCAGTCACCAGCAGGGGCTTGGCCTCATTTCCTCTCCGCTTTGTATTTCAGCTATGAACCGTGTCCAGTTACTTGGGCGAGTCGGGCAGGACCCTGTCATGAGACAGGTGGAAGGAAAAAACCCGGTCACGATATTTTCTATGGCAACAAATGAGATGTGGCGGTCAGGGGAGAGTGACGCATACCAAATGGGTGAGTAGAAAAGACCATAGTTTTATTTTACCAACAGCAAATAGACATTATTACTGCTTATCTAACATTAGAAATGCTACTTTTAGGTGAAGTCAGTCTTTATTAGTTCTTTCTTTTAGAAATTATAAGCTTGTCTTCTCAAGACATGTTCTGTGTTGTTGGCATTTGTGTTATCTGCTGGCGTCTGTAACCCCATTTCCTATACCTGGTGGTTTAGGTGACGTCAGTCAGAAGACAACGTGGCACAGAATATCAGTGTTTCGACCAGGCCTCAGAGATTTGGCATATCAGTATGTGAAAAAGGGGTAAGTTAAAGAAAGGATCTTTGGATTGAATGGCCTGAAGAGTTGATAGCAAATGTTCTCTTGTCTGACTGTTCCTAAGTACTGACATTAACATGTATTTATTCCTTAATATCATGTTCATGGAAAGTCTCTGGTTTTTAGCCTGCAGACATGTTAGGGCAAACAGCGTATGTACATAAACAGAAGTAGATGAGGCAGGATCTGGCAATGCAGTTAGTGCTACTGCAGCATGTACTTTTGCAAAGCATCTATAGCACGTC